GGTAGGGGCGGTGGTGCCTTTCGGCTGGGCTCCCACCCACAGAGAGTATACAGAGGAGGCCTAGGGGGTTAAGTACCTTGCCTTTTAAAGCAAGCCATGCCAGTTGTTGGAGATCCAGCTGCACCCCCCTCACTTAGCAATGCAGGGTTGGCTTACGGCCCATGCTCTCGTACCCTTCCTGTGCCAAGGTAGCTGTTTTCCAGCTGCGTAAATGGTGTTTTTGGCACTTAACGTGGTTGCGATGCTATTCCGTGTGCATTGTGGACATAGGAGCATCCATGCAGCTACCACGCAGCTCAGCAGGCTGCACAAGAGCTGGGCGGACGTGTGCCTGCAGAAGTGCGTACGCTAGGTGTGTATGGGTCGCACATTTCTGGTGGGCAGAAAGCCGACTAGCAGGTGTGAGACGCAGCGGGGGCTGGAGAAAGGCTGACATAATGTCTCGCTTGTGGGATGATGGGTCAAGTGCTGTGCGGAGAAACTGGATGCAGGTTCAAAACCTCTTGTTGGGGGGAGGCTAGGCCTTGAAACCCAGGTCTTCTGCTCCCCGGGCAGTGCTGTAACCACTCTGGGAGCGGGGCTAAAACAAGGAAGGCTTTTTCCCTCTGTTTTACCCAAACTTATGCTCCGGTAGGTGCATACACAGCCGTGAACTGCCCGTATTTGCTGAGCATGCGTGGTAGCCCCGTGGTTGCTTACGTGTCCACGCAGCACGGGTAACAGGATTGCAAACTGGGTGTAGAAACCAAAACTGCCCTTGGCGTGACTGGAGACCTGCAACGTTGGTGCATAAAGGCTAATCGAACTCAACTTGTTGCTGTACATCTGGCCTTTGGGTGATTTGAAGTTGGGAGCACTTTATGGGCAACAGGAGCCGGGGGATGAGCAAACTGCGGCCCCCATCTTCCTTGGGGAAGTGATGCTTTACCGTTACGTGCCGACCTATTTCTACAGTGCTTTTTCTCCTCCTGTTGCTCATGTTTCCATGTTGCTGGGGGTTTTTTTTGAGGAGGTGGCGTTTGAAAGATAAAGTTTGACAGTTGCATGTAAGTCTAACGTGACAGCTCGCTTGGTTCTGAGGCCCGGCGCACTCAGGTTTACCTGGTCCCGTGGGGACCGGTGTCTCTGGCAATAGGCAGCTCATTTCTTGCAAAAGAAGAGAGCTTTTTAAATGTAATCGCAGCCGGCTGTGCTGTGCCGTGCCTCTCCAGACACGTGCTTTTGCTGGGAGAATAAGAGAAGGTGAAGGATTTGCTGCAGCTGGCTCGTGGCTCTGTCGACAGGCCCATTTCATGGGGCTTTGAGTGCGACTGCTTCATTGCCTGTTGCTCCCGGTGTGAGCAATGGGATGTGGGGCTGCGTCTGGTCCCTGCTAGCTGCCTCCTTCCTGCTGCTCCATCTAGTATTATCTCATGTGCAGAGGGACCTAGGAAACCTCTTCCATCTTGCTGTTAAAGGGCTTGTCATTCGTGACCACCCTCCTGTTGCTTGCACGCTTCATCCCAGGGTTGCCAAACAACCCCTCTGTGCGAGAGAGCACCCACCCCCCAACGAGAGACTGATTTTGGTCCCTCGTCTCCTCCAGTTGCTTGAGGGAAGCGTGTTTGAGGGCAGCGATGCCCAACCAGAGATCCTTTTAAGGGTGCCACACTGCTGCGCTACTATAATTCGGAAGAGAAACCCAGAGATTTCACATAGAAACCCATCGTCCCGTTTTGGTCTTTCGGAGTCGTTTGCAACAGAAACATGGCTCTGTTTTTTTCCTGTAGTCAAAAACCAAGTGAAAACGAAGAGGGGGCATTTTTTTTTTGAGGGGCGTCGAGCCTGTCAAGGGGTGCCTCGAGTCTGAAATGGTTGAGAACCGCTCCGTTGGACTAATATCTGCGTTGTGTTTTGTTTCTGAAGGAGCTACATCTGGTTGATCCCAGGTGGGATATATCCCGAGGGGGTTGGGCACAAATGAGCTTCTCTGCGTAGCGGAGCAGCTCCAGAAGCAAGCAGCTAGGCAGATTTTATAGATATGTAATGAGGCCAGACCTGCTGAAAGCACTGTATTGGGCTGATTATTTTGAATTAATCCAGGCTTGTACATTGGACGCTGGGGAGGAGGTGAGTGGAGGCAATGAATAAATTGGCAATTAATTGGTACAATATGGATGTATTAATGCCACATATTGGCTGAGTATCTCTGGGATCTAGTGTTTCTCTCTCTCTTTTTCTCTTTGTTTCTGATTCGCTGTAATTTGGAGAATGCTCTGCTGGGATCATAAGGCTTTTTAAAGCCAAACCTTGGCTTTGGGCTCCATTTTGCACCTAGGAAAGCAGCAGTCAGGGAAGGAATCGTAGGTGAAATGGGTACGTTTTTACTGTAACGGTGAGGAAATTTCGTCTTGCAGCCTGACTCTACAATCACCAAGGTCAAAACCAACTGAAAACCTCCGTGCCCTCCAGCCTGCACAGTTAGCAGTCTCGTGCTGCTCGTGGCAGTGGCTGGCTGTGTAACCGGTCTATGTGGCCGGGGGTCCTGAGCATCCGTTGGTGGTTCAGGAGGTCGGTGGAGGGATGTGGGCCGTGGAGGAGGTTAGAAAGGGGAAGGAACATATGGAGGGTGTGTGAGAGCAGCTCCCGGGTCTTTTCTTGCTGGGTACTGCGCTTGGTGTGATACAGCGCCTTCATTCAGGGCTGTGCGGGGAGGAGAAGACGGAGGACCGACTTTGCAGTAGCTCTTGGCCCACAGCTGGGTCCCCTGCGTGCCTGTTTCTATCAGTGCCCGCGGATTACGTGCATGGTCTCAAGACTGAAAAAAAGCCTTGCACTTATGCAGACCCAGCAGAAGCAGCATCCTCAGGTGCAACGTGCGGCAGCCCCCGAGACAGCTAGTGCCTCTCATTCCCAAAGCTTCTCATAGTTGCGGGGCTTTGAAAATCATAGCAGCTGGTCAGCATCAGGGCTGGTGATACCACGGCATTTGCAGCGCTGCGTGCACGGCTTCCAGCATCGGCAGCCCTGAAACTTAGCTAATTAAACTTAACTAATTAAACTGAGCTCCCTTCATTTTCAGCCTTTTAACAGCACCCCTTTGACAGCTGCTTCCCGGTGCAGATGAGCGGGCGGCGGCGTGCCGCAGGTGCGGTTTGCATGCAGCGAGCTGGAGGGCAGTGTGGTCAGCGGGGCAGCATGATGCTGCGCACTGAAGCGATGGGTGCACTTCGTACCATATTTATGTTCATACTGCCCTCCCAAAAAACTGCACGCTGTTTTGGGAAGGCAGATTGAAAGGGAGGGGAGGAGAGGGAGAATTTTCTTTTTGACCAAACTATTGAGAATCTGTTTCCTCATTTAAGATGTACCCTCCAAGTTTCACTTGCTATTTTTTGGCGGGGGAGGGGGGAAAGGAAGCGTGCAATATGACTAAATAATAAAGTGTTTTTATGATGTAAGCACCAGGCAGCAAGATGGGACCAGCCTTGTGTTGTGCACTTAGGCACCCGTCAAAGAGCACCGTTTGCTTAAGAGGAGTACGCTCGAACCTCTTGGGCTGCGTTGCGCTCAACACACATTGAAACTGGCTTCCCTTGCAATTTGTTTTTTTTAAAGCCTTCCTGATCTATTATCTTCAGGGCTGGAATCAGCTTGGCTTATGTTTAATTAAAATAAAGCCAAAGGTTTTACGAAATCTCGGCGCTAGTGGAAACATTGCCATGAATTATTAAAATAGCGAAAGGACACAGACATTTCCTAGCAGTATCCTCAGTGTGAACCCTGCGGCATCAGATCATGTTGGTGTTGGCTCGTCTGGTAGCAGGAGCTGTAGCAAGACCTTGGGTGGAGAGGGGGGCCAGGCGATGAAACCGAGTCATTGGCTTTGGCTGGCTTTTCGGTGCAAGATGCAGAAAGGAACTGATCTGCATTACTGGGGATAGTGACCCTAGCTACCTTTTCTTTTTTTTTTTGCTTTCATTCCTCATTTTAATAAGCTGAGATGCTGCTGGTAACAAGCTCGGGAGCTAGTGTGTTAACAGTAAGGATTTCAGCCGAATGGGGTCCGTCGGAAGCTTTCTTGTATCTGTTTTGTGGGGAAAAATCAGCAAGGGGCTCCTCTGGTTTGCAAGGTCTTTGGTCTCACATAATTGGCATGCCCAGTCCTGCCGCCATGATGATCTGATATGAGGATGGGGCTAATTCCCCCTTGCTGCCCTTTGGAAGGATTATCAGGGGCGCATTAAGCCTCTGGAGGATGATCCTACCAAGCGTGTGAGTCACTCTTCCTGACTCGAGTCTGGTTCAGGGAAAATTGATGGCTGGGTGGGACTCCCACTTAATCCTGGCCTCATTTTGTCTGTATACTTCAGTGATTAGCTCTGTGGGGAAGCCGGCTTTCATGTCACTGCTGGGTTTTTAATGGCCTGGCCACTCTGTTTGTTGCAATGGTTTAAGACGTTGAAGCGTTTGTAGCCTGTGTGATGGCACGTGCTGCTGGGGTGTGACCGCAGCACGCCGCGGGGAGCCCTGCTTCTGCACTGTGGCCATCCAGAAAGCACTGGGGCTCACCGGGCCCTGCTCCACCTCCCGGCTCCGGGCTCCAAGCAGGTCTGAATTAGCAAAACGGTGCGTTACAGGAACCAGGAGGCTGCTCCTGCCCTGTGGCCTTGAGCAGATCCAGGGGTAGGTGGGTGGTGAGTTTGCTGAGCTGTGGAGGGTGAATTGCATCAGTGCAGGATGCTCCTTGCTCCCTTGTGCTCACCTGAGCTGTTAAACAGTGAGGAGGGAAAGTCCGGTGGCCTTCGAGGGTTGCACCAAGGGGGGTAGTGCCTGCAGGGAGCTGGAGTTAATTGATGCTGTTTGCAACCATCGCTGGTGCAGAAGGAAAGGCTCGTGGCCCAGTGGGTAAGGCTGGGAGCTGGGAGACCTGAGCCTCCCCAGTGCAGGTGCCTGGATCGTGGTCAGAGGGCTTTTCCATGGGGCGCACGTGCTAACTCTGCCCGCTCTCCATCCCTCAGGTCATGCTTGCTGCGTCTTACTGGTCGCTCCTGGCGCCTGCCATCGAAATAGTCGAGGACGCCGGGAATTTCGGGGCCTTTGCTTTCATCCCGGTGGCCGTGGGCTTCACCCTGGGAGCAGCTTTCGTCTACTTTGCCGACCTCCTCCTCCCCGTGCTGGTGAGTATGTGCCTGGCGCTCTGCTTTCTGCTGCCGCGTGGTCTCTGGGGTTCACGTGCCCCCTGTAGCCTCCTTGCAGCTGGACAGGCCTGCAAGGAGGTGGCACGTTGCTTTTGAACCTCTGCCCTGCCCAAGGGGAAGGCTGGTCTCCGTGCTGGCAGGGCAGCGTGGCTGGTGTCCGTCCCTGGCTCTGTTTCTCCATCCCTTCCTGTGGAATTGCTGAGGCCCTTGGCATGACCTAAAGCAGGCCCCACACCTCTGACACTCTTTTTACTTTTTCTCGTTTCAAGATTTGAAAAAGGAAGTTACTCAATAATCTCAAGAGAGCATTGACATTTCCAGGAAAGGAGCATTTACAATCCCCAGAATATATTTTTTAATGCAGGCTGGAGGCTTTTCTAATAGCAAGGGATTCTTGCTGGGAAATCCTGCAGCTGCTTCTGTGGGAGATTGTACTGAATTATCACCTTGGGCCTTTCTGGTCTCTGAAGTCTATGAGCCTGTGAAAGTATGACATACAATAGCTATGAAAACCTGGGTGGGGAGAGCGGTGTCTACACCACTGGCCCGGGCATGTCGTGGTACTTGGGATTCAGCCATGCATTAGCAAACTAGCCAGGGTAGCTCCCTCTTCATTCATGCTCTAGGGACCTTTGCTATGCACACCCCACCAGCTTATGTGCAGAAACCATTTTAAAACCAACCATCCCTTGCCCGTGCTGCCCTTTGCAATCATCGCCTCCACCGAAGAGGCCCCTCGGCTCTGTTTGGTCAGCTGCGGCAGCTCGTGTTTCCCAACAGAGAAAGCAAACAGTTGCACAGCGCAGCCTGGGAGCACCCCAGCTAGCACGGGTTTTGCAATGGGAGCATGGGCGTTTGGGGTTGCATGGGACATGAGGAGTAAAAGCCTGCAGGAGGAGGGGGAGGGTATGGGGCACAGCGATACTCCAAGTGGAGGTCCCCCTCTATTTGGTCTGCCCACCTACTGGGACTGGCGCGTGGATGAGCACTGTAGCACGTGGCCGCACAGGGCTGTCTTGCTGGCTCTCAGCAGGCTGAATGGCATTCGTGTTTCCAAACAGCATGGGGTGAAGCTGGGAGATGCAGTGCCCCGCCGGGTTAATCCACCTGACGCCACTGAATGCTTGCTTCAAAGCTGCGCTTTTGCCCAAAAAAAGGGAGAAAAATCCCGGCTGACTTCCCAGCATTGCTTCGAACTCTCCCCTTTGTCACAAGCTCCTGCTTTTTAAACCCAATTAAAATAACAACAGGAGATTAACTGCGCTTTGGCTTGTAAACAGCATGTTTTCCAGCTCCACTCAGCACCGCATTTCCTGTGGTATAGGGAGGCTGGCGGGTCCTTCCCTGCTCTTGCTTCAGGATGCTGTGGTGGGGCTTGCAGTTGTAGTTGCACCCCACCACATCCTTTTCTTGCTTCAGGATGCCACTCTCGCACGGTGACTAGCAGCAACTCTGCAAGGGTCTGGAGGGAGCAACTCCCTCTGCAATGAAAGGCTATGGGAGAGGCCTTTCTGCTTTCATCCCCTTCTGCGAGCTGGGGGAATGAAGCACCCCTCCATCAAAGCCTGAGACCACAGCTGATGTGCTGCATTTTGCTTGAGCTGGGGGGTCTCTGCATTTGCATTGCGGTAACCCCTGGGAGCCCCCTTGTTTGTACAGCACGTGGCGCAGAACAAAAATTGATCCGAAGACTGGCTGATGGACGTGATGATATGGCCCTGTGTCCTCTCTCTTGTGGAGAGTTGGGTGCAGCAGAGACTGGGCGGGGTGTGGAGGACGTGATAGAAGGAGCTTGGAAGCGACCCAGTTAAATGAGTGCAATTTGGGATATTTTGCTTGACAAGTGTAATAGGCTGGATTCTTCCCTGGGGAAACTCTGTTGGCGGCAGCCACTTTACATAGGGGCGCATTTGGCTCTGTGCCCCCCCCTTCCCACTTCTGGGTTCAGCGCTTTCCCACCAAGTGCATTACTGACTGCCACTCAGGCACCTCCAGCTACTGTTCGCTCACTTCAAATCTATCCCGCTTTTGATTCCCCCCCTGCATCCCTCCTGCAGATTGGCTTGAAAAGAAGATTCAAGAAAAAAAGCAATGCAGTTTCACAATGAGGATGCTAATGGACCAGGGGCCTGTGGGAATTCGGGGGGGGGTATTAACACGCAAGCGTTTTTGCTGAAAGAAGATGAAAATAAGGATTTTCTATTTTTTTTTAATGGGCTGTTCTTCATGTGACGAGGGCAGTGCTTTGATGTGCTGGACACTTGCTGCTTTGGTGTATAGCCGTGGGTAGTCTAAACTTTGAATGACTTCTTGATTTGGTGCCTGTGATCTCTTTTTTTCTGCTGATGGAGAGAGGAGGAATTTCTCTCTCTCGCTTGCTCACTTGCCGGCTGTTCAAAGAGGACGGGTATGATTATTAATGATACATACGAAAGCATTTGCTCAACAATGGAGCTTTGTAGGGGTTTTGAAATCCTCGGAGACAAATTGGCTAATGATGCTGAACAGTTTAAGTCATTAAGTTCATCACAAAGGGAAAAAATCTAATCCATTGGATTTTTAGCTTTAACTGTTTCTGACTTGAGAGCCTTTGAAAATGTTCGCCGTCAAGTAATAAGGAAACGTGGAGTGTGAGAGACTCTGGGTTGTGTCTGCACGTGTTTGCATCGAGCGCAGTGGGTCACGGCCATGCAAGCGAACTGTGAAAGCCGCTGTCGCGGGAGCAGGGAGACCCAGCAGCACAGTGACGGCTCCTCTGGGCTGGATTGTCACCGGTACGTTGGGATCCAGGCTTGCCATGGTCTTGGCTAGCATCTCCCCACTGCATTGTCCGTGGGGAGCTGGCTTTCCCAGGTGAAGAAGTTCATTGCAGCATGCAACTTCTCTTGCTAACTTGGGCCCGTTGCTCCTCATCTAGGAATCCCACATCCTTCTACGAGCCGACGTCTTTATACAACACACTGCCAGCACTCATTGCTGCTGCTTACTTCCTTTAATGAGAGAGATGGAGAGGGCATGGGGCTGGGGACCGCAATGCCAAGGCCAGGGTTTGACTGGCTGCGAGCTTCGAGGCTTCGTGCCTCAGTTTCCCTAGCTTCCTGCCTTGGGGAAGTTTTGTCTGTAAAGGGAGAAGAACAAGTGGAGAAAGCAACCCCAAAGGCAGATATCTGTATTGCGGCGGTGTCTGAAAGCCCCAGCTGGAATAGCCTCTATTGTGTTAGACAACACCTGCCCACGCGAGGAGCAGCCTGTGACCTGAAGGGTTTGCAGGACCATTCGAGGTCCGGCTTTCATGCCCTGTACCAGCCGTGCCGGCGCACCGAATATGCCTCCTTCAAGCAGGGACCCTTTTGGAAGGGCTCCAGGCAGCACCTGCTGTCAGCAAACAGCTCTGATGTTCTCTCTTTGCAGAAGCAGCAATCAACAAGCCTTTCAGGCGGATGGCCCAGTTTTCGCTGTGCAATGGTTTTTTGTCTCGAAGCATAATAGGGGCTGTTCAGGGAAGCAGGGAAAAGGGAGAGGTGTCTGTTTCTGATTGTTATTCTAACCACACTGGCTTGAAGGGGAAAAAAAACAACACAAGACGCTGAGCTAGATAAACATGCTGGTAGGCAGGATGCCGACGCACACCAGACTGCCCCGAAAGGATCATCAAGCCTTGCTGGGAGAATCACCTCTGAGCCTGTGTACGTCCGCGGGCCGTCCTAGCACCCAACCAGGGAAATGTCTCGTGGCGTTGCCATCTCTTTCATGTTTCCAGTGATAAACTCATGTATGGCAATGCTTTCCGACTGCATTTATTTGAGAGGTGTCAGAGCCTCATGGCACAGGGTTCCCGTTCTGCTTCCCTATCTGTGAACCGTAGCCCTCAGGCTGAAATAATGTTTTCTTAACTCCTTTTTCCCTGGGAATGAGAGACTATAGTGAGGAGCTTGCAATCGGTATGTAAGGAAACTGGAGGGGAAACCGTGATGGTGACAAAGGTCAGCCTTCGGGGAAAAAAGTTGAAGGCCCCAGGTCTGTTTAATTTGAAGGGAGGGAGATTTAAAGCAGCGGGCACGTGATACGAGTTTTCCAGTGGTTGAAAGAAGACGGAGAAATGTCGCTCTGCCTTGCTGCAGGGGACAGGAGCTGGGGCAATGGGTCCAAGCTGCAGCAAAGCTGGTTTAGATCAAACACCAGGAAAAACGTGGCCTGGGAGAGCCGTAGCACAGTGGGACGAGCTGCCCGGCGACCTGGTTGTGTTTCCGTCCTTGGAGGTTTTTGTGGGGAAAAGCTGGATCGGCAGCAGTCTGGGGTGATTGGGGGATAACCCCATGCTCATCGTGGGTTGAACTGTCGGCGTCAGCCAGGAGAGACTCGGGTCATAGCAGTGGTCAGGAGAGGAGCAGAAACATGTTCAATCCAGGCCAAAACTGGCTTTTGCTCCGCTGTCTGCTGTGGGCTTTATTAGCCCTGCCAGGCACTGACCACGGTGTTAGTATAGGAATTTCGGGCTGAGAACCAGTGACTTGGTCTTCCTCATCCTTTGCCTCCCACCAGCATCGACGGCAGCTGCAGGCAACCAGTTCCTTGGAAGAAGTCAAAGTCTACTTTTTCTTTCGGTGCCTAAATCTGGTTTTGGTTGGGCTGAGCGGGAGAGGACTTGGGTGAGAGGGGCTAAAAGCAAGGTGGTGCAGCAGTCCGAGGGGGCCTGTGCGAGTCGGAGCTGGAGCCCGGTGTGGGAGTGGGGATCCTGGGCTCTCCAGGGGGTGGGGGGAAGCAGAGGCAGGGACCTGCACCCGGGTGTTTGGGCTCGGCTCTTTGCACCAACTATGGTGTGTCCCCAAAGAGCCGACCTGTAAACGCGGAGCAACTGCAGCCTGATTTGCTTTGCTGCCCAGGCCCGTAGGCTGATTGAAATGGCTAATTGTTTGCAAACTGGTTGCAACTGCAACCAGTGGCTAATTGGTTGCACTTTCCATAGGCGTAGCGGGAAC